TCTTTCAGGCGATAAGGGAAGAAGGATTAGGGAGCTGACTTCTCTTGTTCAGAAAAGGTTCAAATTTCCTGAAAACAGTGTTGAGCTTTACGCTGAAAAAGTAAACAACAGAAGCCTCTGTGCCATTGCGCAGGCGGAATCCCTGCGTTATAAGCTCCTTGGAAGTCTTGCTGTTCGGAAGTAAATGAAACTAATATCTCCCAGTACCATTTTCTCTCGTATATGTCACTGATTTGCTACATCTATTGAGGGGATGGATTTGCCACTTCTAATTATTTTTTTCATCACACCATCTTTGTTTCTTGTTGGCTGTCGATATTCTCTTTCATGACCTTTTAATTGTTGGTTTCTGGAACAAGCTAATATGTTATTGTTTGCACTGAAATTTCCTTGCTTTATGTCATCTTTACAGCGAGTTGGTTAACCATAAATACCTGTCTCGTGTCTGAGGATGACTATAAGTATTCTTCCATCTGTTCATAATGCAAGGATTATTGTTATATTCCTTGCAATGGGAAATTTGATGGTAAATGCCTGTTGTCACAAATTTTTAAGTTTTTGTCTTGTGGTCTGGTGGTGAAATCAAACTACCGTATTGGAAAATTCCTCTTTTACACAATTAATGTCAATTGTGCATTCCCAATTTCTTACTACCCAATTGATTGCATTCTGCCAAATATTATGTGTGATGACAAATATGTGGATAAGAACAACTATAGCATTTACCTAAATTTTTTTTAAAGTTCATAGCACATTTTTTATCTGCTTGTTTAACTTTGGTCCTCGCAGGCCTTGAGTTACAGCATCGTTATGGCCCTTACTCTTGCTTTGATAGTCATGGGGGTTTCATTTCAATGCTTATAGAAAATTCTTGGAGGTTGTCAGGCTTCCTGTGCTTCTCTTTAATGTGCTTGGAGTTTGGAATATTCTCCCACATTCTCACATTTTATTTCTTTCTTGGTTGTTTGTTGATGGATGCTAACATTTTTCCAGTGATGTGAATTTTTAGCTTGTAATTGCTGATGTTGGAAATTAGTGTTGTCCCAATTGGCCTTGAGTTAGAGCATTGTTATAGCCCTTACCCTTGCTTTAATGGTCATGGGGGTTTCATTTCAATGCTTATAGAAAATTCTTGGAGGTTGTCAGGCTTTCTGTGCTTCTCTTTAATGTGCCTGGAGTTTGGAATATTCTCTCACATTTTTACTTCTGTTTCTTTTTTGGTATTGTGGTTGTGCGATGTATCTTTTTACTCTAATGTCAATCTTTGGCTTGCAATTGCTCATGTTACCACTTAGTCTGCTTTACAGTGGCTATCTGACACGAGCATTGTTAATTATCTGCTTGTTAAGGCACAGTTTCTTACTCATGGAGTCTTTTTTTAGCACATTTATCTAATCGGTGCTCCAAAGTTAAGCTTAACATGCTTTATTTCAAAGTGGACCGTTGAAACTAAGGAATTATTGATTTTCTTAATTTTCAGGGCTTGCTATGGTGTCTTGAGATTCATCATGGAGAGTGGGGCAAAGGGATGTGAGGTATGTCGCAAGACCTTCTGTTTTGTTATAAGTATGTGGAATGTGCATACATAAGTTAAACTTCGCTTTAGATGTTCAATTTTCCTGTATATTCATGCAGGTCATTGTGAGTGGAAAGCTCCGGGCTCAGCGTGCTAAGTCAATGAAGTTCAAGGATGGGTACATGATTTCATCTGGTCAACCTGTCAAAGAATATATTGACTCAGCTGTGAGGCATGTTCTTCTTAGGCAGGTAGGGTGACAAATATGATCTTTGCTTATTTACATTTCTCAGTGGCGAGATTAGTGCATGTCTAGTATGCTGTGCTTCGAATTTAAACCTGAAAGAGAATATATTAATTGATTCTTTGGTACCCTAATTGTTCAACAGGGTGTTCTTGGTATTAAGGTTAAGATCATGCTTGATTGGGATCCAAAGGGTAAGCAAGGCCCAACGACACCATTGCCTGACCTAGTAACCATCCACCCTCCTAAGGAAGAAGAGGAATTCATTCCACCAGCGCCGGCAACGAACATTGAGATCCAAGTAGAATAAGAGCTCAGTTGTCGATGTTGGTTTACATCAATGTAGTAGTACTACTACTACCGTAACATTTTTTTCCTTTTTTTTTTTTCAGTCCATCAGGGTAGAAAAATATTACAAGAGTGTCTTAAGTTGTGTTTTAACCAGTTGTTTTTTTTCTTCAAATGGAGTAAAATGTGGTAATGGCTTTGGTGCTTTTCATCATCAATCCCCATTTTGGGGAAGAAATCTGGGCTGTTCTATACACGAGTTCTTGCATTTTGGTTCCTAGAAGGTTTTGCCATTTCTTTTCTAGATTTGAAGCGGGTGAGCAGACTGTTTTTTGAGTTATAGTTTGTATTTGAAGAGCTTTATTAGTTGGATTTGAGCCACATTTAAATTAAACAAGTTGAATTAAATTGTTCTTTTGGGTAGAAACTAATTTAATTTTTTTATTAGGAACTCCATATAATATCTTAACTAAGGTATTCCTAGAATTTCACTTTTGTGTTCTTTTCCAAATGCATTTGTGTATATACATATATTATGAAGAATTTCTTCTTCAATGCTTCTTATTGGATGTCAGATTATTCATTTAATGTTAGATATGCAAAAGTTTTTAGTTTTTAAAATGGACTGAACAAGTTGTATTGTACGTTATTCACTTAATGTTCTAAATACCAAATTGTTAATTTTGGCATTTACGTTAATTCTTTTGGGCGCTCTATCAATCCACCGGTACCTCTCGTCGGCAGTTACTCCCATCACGGTGGTCGGAAAGAGAGGAGGGAGGAGATTATTGGCGAGAAAGGTTAAGTAAGTGCCTGAGGGGATAGTTGTTTTGTTTTTTTAAAAAAGAATTTTATGTCATCAAAGCAATCATCACGTAATTAAAAGTTGGTTTCCCTTTTGAAGTTTTAGGAAACCCTGCGACTCTCCACTTTCCCTTTTGGTTTGAATTAAAAAGAAATTAACTAAGGAGAAGATATTTTGAAGGTAGAAGTGGTATTGGGTGTGATTTTTTTTTTAAAGGTGAAGATGAAGGAAGAAGCTGCACGTGTTGGAAGACACACCATCACTATTTTTACTTTCCTCTTTTGTTCCCTTCATTCATTTTTTTTTCCATTTTTCATTTTTATAAAATAATATAATGAATAGTGGGTAGCACAAAGCACGCCTGCCTCGTCCGTAAATCCTTTTAATCATTCCCAACAAGATTACTTTATATTTTATTAATTAAAAGAATTTATTGTTTTATTTTTATCAAAAGTATTATTATACAATCTGTTTTTGTAAAAAATAATAATAACAAGTGGAGACAAAAAAGGATGTCAAGAACATATATATATATGTATATATATTGGAAGAGTTGACTATTGTTAGGAATTTATCAGGAACCATTGACTCATTTAGATGTACGAAGGAAAAAGAAAAGGAAAATACATTTTTTAATATATATATATATATGTATGTATGTATATGTAAAGAGCACAAAAGAGTTGAAAGGGAGAGCTCCCAATGAGAAAATAAATTTATGGTAAGCCGCCCATTTTATTTACATATTATGGCTTGATTGAATTGATCTGAAATTTTTTGTCGGCTTGTCCTCCATTCTTACCAACCATCCATCAAAAGCTTCCATCATTTCATCTGGATCCTAATCTACATTTTAACTTCATCTTCTTTTTCCCAATAATGCCCCTCATAAAAAAATTATTTTGAAATTTATAAATCACTTTTATATATATATATATGGAAGTGAGATAAAATGTAGGCAAAAACGATGCCGTTTTGTGCTCAAATTTTCTTCATTCTACTTTTTTCTTTTCCTTAATTTTCTTTTGTCTCTTGTTTTCCCTTTTTCCTCTTCCTCAAGTTAAGCGTGAATTGGTTTTTGCTTTGTCCTACTCCTCGTTATTGTTATATTTTTTGTTTTACATAAACAAAATGATAGGAAATTAGAACACAAATGCATTGAATTTTGGATTTTATATTATTATTATTATTAGACTGAAATTATTTATTATTCAGTTTTTTTTTTTGCTTTCTCCAACTAAAGGCCCTCTTTAATTGCAGAAAGAAAACTATTTTTGATCGACTGCGTAAATAAAATTAAAATAAAAATTGTCATTTTCGACTTAAATAAATATTTATTTTTGTTTAACAAATATTTGGTAAAATGAGTTGGGTGGAAAATGACGGAGGGAGGACACGAAGAGTGGGTTCTCCACATTTGCTCTTTTTTTTTTTTGAGTGGACTCATCCCACGCCCAACGCCCAACTGGGTCCCACTCTTGTTGCTCCCCTTACCTGGCCCTCATTATTTATTTATTTATTTATTTTTAATTAAAGCAATGGTGGACCCCACCAAAATATATCCATATCTCAATTCATTTACTTGCTTCCTCTAATGACACGTGTCTGATGATGTCATGTCACGGTTTTTGTGAGACCCACAAATGAGTAATATCTGGCATGTGCACCAAATATGAAAAAAAATCCGTGGAATTTCCTTGACGACAACAGTATCGCCGCATTCCTCAAATACCATATCACCCTTTTTCCAACAGATTGTTGCTGTTGTATAGGTGTATATATATATAAGAGCCACGTATCTACCTCCTCCTACCTCGCGCCACCAACGTCGCTTCTTTCTATCTCTCTTCTTCTCTCTCTGGTTTGGTAAATCTACGAGTAATGGGTACAGAGGCTGTTGAGATTTTGACTGGAAAGGACTTGTCTAAAATTTGCAGCGAACCGAGTCAAGGCATTCACGGCGATTGCTGTTGGTACGAAGAGACCATTGATGTTCATCTCAAATGGTCGTTTGAACTCAACAGGTTTGTTTCCGTTCGTTTCCTCTCTCCGCCGTGTATATACATTTAGATTTTGAGATTTTGATTTCGGCCAATCTTTTTCGTTTCTGATTCAATTTGAAGCACACAGATAATGCTGTTTCAATTCTTCAGTATCGTTTCTTTTTTTCTTTTAAATTCAAAAAACAAAACCGATATTCAATCGCAAACTGATCGGATTCCTGAAATTTATTTTATAATCTGAAATGTTCGAGGTTGGTGGGAATTAGATATTCTATATACATCCATAAGAGTTAGTCAGAAATGTGCTCTGTGCGCTTAATAATTTGGATTTGATTCTATTCTAATTAACATTTGATATTTAGAATCACACTTTTAAAATAATCGTAGAGTTAAAAAAGTATTCGAGATTATAAATACAAATCTCAAACTTAAATTGTCTCAAGAATATATAAATAATTATATCTAGTTAGTACTTAGTTATCATATTTTCTTCGTTTTTATAAAATTTCATTTCTTCCGGTCATAACTCAAAATATTAACTGTTTCATCAATGAACAGTGTGCTACATAAAGGGACTAGTGAACACCAGGAGATTGCTCTTTTGGACACTAAACATTTCGGCAAGGTACTGAATTATTTAATGTATAATTAATTATGTCCGAATTCGCATATTTTTATGGTGTATTATTATATATATATATATAGGTGTTGGTGATTGATGGAAAGATGCAGAGTGCAGAAAGAGATGAATTCATTTATCATGAATGTTTGATTCATCCTCCTCTCTTATGCCACCCAAAGTGAGTACTCTCAGGTCCCTTTTTAAGTTAGACCATTGTTTCTACACCACACCTCCATTCTTTAACTGAAGTTTTTATTATATTATATGTTTAGAGTAATTAAATAAAAAAAATTATAAAATCACATACTACAATTATTATAATCGTACTAGAATTAATATTAACAATGATAATTAATGATAAAGGGGGCAAAGTATTAGTAATAGCTGGGAGTGATGGATGGTTGGTTGACTGTAACGTTAAAGATGACAGTCAGACAGTGACCGTCAACGATAATCACAGTAATGAGAGTGATGGTAATGACATACCGAACGCGGTGATGAGTTAACGGCAACCGTAACAGTTACAACGGATGGAGCAATGCTGATGTGGCACGGACTTCATTTTATTATTTATTTTATATATTTTTAATATTTTAAATTAATTAATAAATTAAAAAATTACTTTAAAAATTAAACCTAATTTCCGTCTTCTCCCAACATCCTCCATGAAATTTCAGTCCCAAAAATAATAGAGGGAAGATTCTCATCCATGCCACCCAAAAAGAAGATAGAGAAAAAAAAAGATGACTTTCTTCGTTGTTATCCATTGTAGCTTTAATGTCTTCCTCAGTTTTACCAACGATGCTTCAGCTCCAGTTAGTCGAGGTCTCTAACTTCACCGTGTCTTATTCTTCTCATTACTTCTTCACGTTGCCCTTCTTTGAATGTGAGTGCGAGATGGAAGTCAATATTAATTTATAATTCAAAACCCTACCGGCTAACGCTAAAAGTGGTGGCGGTGGCTGTTTGTGATGGTAAGGAATTATTGTAGCCGGCGGAGCTTTATTCATTATCTCAGAAGAGAGAGTGAGAATATATCGCTGGCTGAGTTGACATGAGAGAGCCGGTGGCGTTTGAAATAGAGTTTGCTCGTCTCAAAGGAGGAACTTGTGGAATTTGATCTGAGGATTGGGGGCTGCGTTTGGTTGAGGATTGGTTTTTTTTTTTAATAGTGGTTGAGGTTCAGCTTGGTTAACAAAATAGCAATTTGTCGGAAGAACTTCAAGGGACTATTGGTGAGTTTGATTAGGGTTTGGGTTTACAAATAAGAGGGGAACTTAAGGTTCGAGGTTTTTTTTAAATATAATTTCTCAATTTGATTAATTTTCTTTGTTAAAGTTTTTAATCTATCGATAATTTATTAGTTCTGATGAGGGTTTATCTATCTTTTTATCCATTTTTCACGTATTCCGTTTTACAGTCCAAGGACTGTCTTTATTATGGGAGGGGGTGAAGGTTCTGCTGCTAGGGAAATTCTTAAGCACAAGACAGTAAAAAAAATAATTATGTGTGATATCGACCAGGTAATTAATGGCTTCTGTTCTCAATAGCTATTTTGTTTCAGGTGGTATTAAATCAAGTCCACGATTTTTCTAATCCCAAATAATCTCATCATTCCAGGAGGTGGTTGATTTCTGCCGCAGGTACCTGACGGTAAACCACGAGGCATTTTGCAACGAGAAGCTTAATCTCGTTATCAACGATGCCAAGTAAGTGAAATGTGCTTTTCTTAAACAAAATTTTTTGAAAGAGTTTTTTGGTGTAAATCTCAATAGGCCAAAATACCCAGAAACTTTCTTGTCCACTTTGGAAACATTCAAATAATGGCGTGAATGAGGCAAAACAGATTTTATAAGAAAATTAAAAAAAAGGAAAGTTCTTTTCACACTTATCTTCATGATTGTATTATCAGAATAGAGAAAAAACCCACCAATAAGAAAGCAAGGGTGTTACATAAATATGCCCGAAAGATATCTGAAGATTCATATCATGTGTTCACCTAAACGTCTTGCAAAACTCTAATATTGTGGTTTGGAGTTGAATTTTGAAATATGTGGAAAGTAAAATGAGCTTAGAGTATTTGAGAAATTTGGTTTGGAAGCTTTTTAAATTAAAGTAGACTAGAGACCACTAAAAAAAATTTAAGCAAAGTAATAGGAATGGTATTAGATTAGATATAAAAATTAAAGAGTTTGAGCTTTCACTATACAGAATATGTTAAGTTTTTGCTTGATTTGTAATTTTTAATCTAACCTAACGAACTTAAGAATGTTATTAGATTTAGAACTAAAAATCATGAGTTTGAATTCTCACTGGATGGAATTGAAATGTTAGATATACTCTTGTATAAACCCTATTCTTAGAATTATCAAGACCTATTATTTGACACAACCAAATACCAGTGAGCCCAAAGGACATTAAGAGTGAGTAGTTAAAGCACCATGTGACTATATGTTATTTCCAGTTTATATTTATATATCTAAAGCTGACTGGCATGAAATACTATATGCTTTATGAAGGAAGGAACTAGAGAAATGCAATGAGAAATTTGATATCATAGTGGGAGATTTGGCAGACCCAGTTGAAGGTGGGCCTTGCTATCAACTCTACACAAAATCTTTCTATGAGAAAATCCTCAAACCTAGGCTCAATGACAAGGGCATTTTTGTTACACAAGTAGGTTTCTTTTTTCTCAATATTTATTACTATTACATTTTTGTAATGTTGTTGCTTTACGGCTTCAGTTTGTGTCTGCACAACTACATGCATGCATATACATATATATATGTTTGTGTTTTATAGGCTGGACCAGCGGGCATTTTCACTCACAAGGAGGTCTTCTCCTCTATATACAACACAATCAAGCATGTTTTCAAGTGTAAGTATCTTAATTTACTTGTACTAATTAATTGCTAATTCAATTTAAACAGACATGGATGTAACTAGTATTATTTATAGAATGCGGAATTACAATAAATTACACTTTCTTTGTTGTTAGATTTTTTCTTTATAAAACAGAATTAAAAGCTAAAGAGGTTATAACTCACAGGCAAGTCACTATATATAATTTCAGAAGATGGGTAATAATAGCCAATAAATTTCAGAAGACACTGTTAGTCTCTGACGGTGTATGGCTCTTTGAGGAGCAACCCCATTTCAGTTTGTCCCAGCTCTTGTAGGATGGTTGTTGATTTCATCTGAATCTATGAAAGAAGTTTTCCAAAGAAAAAAAGAGCCAATAAGTTAGACAAGCTTCTCCAATGCAACTGAACTACATTATTGTAGAAATTTAGGAAAAAATATTTACTTTATTTCCACTATCTTTTTGGTGTCACAAATGACTCATATATATAAGAATTTCTAAATATAAATAAGTAAATTTTCCTTATAATAGAGATTCTAAATAATTTTAAGAAATTAATAGTAAGAGCTATATAGAAAAAATATCATAATTATTTAGGCAACGAAATATTCATATCAACACTCCCTCTTAAGTTGGTGCGAAGATATCACACATACCCAATTTGTATATTAAGTTCTGAAGAGTTTTGTTACAAAGTCCCTTAGTGAAGATATCTGCCACTTGATTATTAGAAAATATATGATATAAGTATAAGAAACCATCTATCACTTTCTCTTTTATGAAGTGACAGTCAATCTCAATGTATTTTGTCCGGGCATGTTAAACTGGAATTTGGGTAATACTAATGACTGATTTGTTGTCACAAAACAATGATAAGCTTCATTCTTTAAATAATTTTAATTCATTTATTAGTTTCTGCAACCATAATAATTCACATACTTCTTGAGTCATTGTTCTATATTCTGCTTCAGCATTAGAATGGGTAACTATACTTTGCTTCTTGCTTTTCCATATAATCAAGTTGCCAGCAACGAGTGTGCAGTAACCAATAGTTGACCTTCTATCATTTGGAGATCCAGTCCAATCGACATTTGTAAATGCTTCTATGTTAAGGTGGCTATCTTTGGAGAAGAGTAAACTTTTTCTTGATACAGATTTCAGATACCGTAATATTCGAAAAACATGTAAATGAGTCTCGCGAGGATCATGCATGTACTGACTCAACAGACTAACTCCATAAGTTATATTTGGTTTGGTATGTGAGAAATAAATGAGTCTTACAACCAATCTTTGATATTTTTTCATGTCAACTAATGTACCACTATTAGTTTGTAGTTTGTGATTACTTTCAATAGGAGATTCTGCTGGCTTGCAACCCATCATTCCAGTATCTTCTAATAAGTTTAGGATATACTTTTTTTGAGAAATGAATATTTCTTTATTAGATCTGTCAATCTCAATTCTCAAAAAGTACTGCAATTTTTCTAAATTTTTAATTTCAAATTCTCGAGCAAGAAGTCCTTTTAGTTGAGTCATCTCCTTTGTATCATCTTCAGTCAATAGAATATCATTTACATAAATAATGAGAAGAGTGATCCTACCCTCACAATGCTTGATGAACAGAGTATGATCAACATTGTTTTGCTGATATCCGAAACAGATTATAGCTCTTCTGAACTTTTCAAACTATGTTCTTGGAGACTGTTTTAATCCGTGCAAAACCTTCTTCAATTTGCAGACTTTTACTTGTGTTCTTTCATCTTCGAATTCACGTAAAATTTTATGTATACCTCTTCCTCTAAGTCCCTATGAAGGAAAACATTTTTTACATCGAACTGGTGTAAATCCCAATCAAGATTAGCAGCATAGGATAATAATATTTTGATTGTGTTCATTTTTGCAATACGTGCGAATGTTTCTTGATAGTAAACTCCATAGGTTTGAGTATACTCTTTAGCCACTAGTTTAGCTTTGTATCTTTTAATTGACCTATCTGCTTTATGTTTTACAGTGAACACCCATTTATAACCAATCATTTTCTTTTCTTGTGGGGTTGAAATAAGTTCTCATGTTTCATTTTTTGCTAATGCTTTCATTTTTTTAATCATCGCTTCCTTTTATTTGGAATCTCCTAAAGCTTCTCTCAAATCCTATGGAATAGATACAGAGAAAACATCTGATATTTCAGATGTTAATTAAGGTATGTGAGTGTTAGATAAATAAACAGATTACGAGTGTAGATAAAAATTATATGCAGCGGAGTAAATTAATACAAATTCCTTACAAATATATGAGTTTCAGTTAAATATATATAATTGAGGCTAGAAGTGGCTGCAAAATACAATTTCAAAATACAAAAGATGACAACTTCTTTTATTATACTATTGGACCCATTAGAGTGTGGGAATGATCATGCACTCAAGGTTTGCGGATCCACGGGATCCTCATAAACTTTAGTGGGTAAATCAACTGACAACTCCTCATTATCTTCCTCATCTAAGGAGGGAGTTATGGAAAGAACTCACTAAGGAAAATAGTATTTAGATAACATTGTAAGGTTTTAAAAAGTGAATAATTCTAACATAAACACTTATCATTTGATTATGTTGTACATCTCTTTTGCCTTATAAAAATAATTTATTTATTAAAGAAAAATATTACGTTATAGTCAACAATAAAACACACAACATACCTAACAATGAAGAAAATAAAATAAATCATGAAATTCTCAGATTTTCATATCATACTTCGCAAAGTCGTTACGACTTCCATATCTGAAGGCAGATACAGATTTTCGACTACTCATGTAGAATGTCCAGATCAGATACGGATAACGGCAATTTGCTCAGTCAAATTTTCGGCTTGCCAAATCATGATACGATCTATGATCATGGCCGTACCAACCATAATGGTCATATCGGATATTCTATGGTCATGACAATACTTAGTCAAAGGTGACCCTTAACAGATATTCGCGTCACCACTTTCGTTAGAGAGTTTGTCGTTATCCATAAGGAGCGGTGCTCTTACGTCTTTTTAGAGCAAATGGGAGAGGGAGAAACAGATACTCCGGATGGAGATATGGGAACATATACTTCTCAAAAATAAAAAAGCTAAGGAGACTTGATGCGTTATGTATGTCAATACAGATACATACTTCGGAATGCTTCATTCCACTTTTCTTTTTATTTTTTTTTGTTTTTTTATTTTACAGATAATCTTACCAGTTTCATATTATTTTAATTATATACAAATAATTAAATATTTATAACTCACATAGTATGCTTGAAATCAAGAACAATTCAACTTATTAAGTCTATTAACACAAAATATATAAAACAGGTTAAATTACAAAATTATCAATTTTTGTCTAAAAATACCTCTTAATACGTTTAAAGAAATACTAAATTTGTTATCGAAACTTTGATAATTTCTTTTATACTGTTATTTTTCTCTTCCTCTCCTCTCTCTAGATCATTCTCTTTTCTTCTCTCTTTCTCTAATTCTTGGAAAGTGGAAGAATGTAAGTTAGGAGAAAATAAGAGGAATGGCCCCCTATTTATAGAAAATAGGAGCCGTTGGATTTGTGCCAAGTGGCAAAATCCAGTGAGAAGAGACTAAAAAAATGTTTGACACGAAAAGCGAAGGAAAATGACCTCCACCAGAGGTGGCACCACAAGCGGCGACACATCGCTCGAGGTGGGTGGCGACACACTGCTCGAGGCAGTAGTGGCCTCACCCGCCCGGTGCGCGTTGCTAGCCTAGCCTGCAGGCGCCAGGTGACCCTGTTGCGCGCAGGGCTTAGGCGGGCTGGAGTGTCGTGCGTATGCCTACTGTGCGGACGGCACGCACACAGTGTGCGGCGCCTGCCTGTCCGTGCGGATGGGTCATTCCTGTGCGTGACAAGACGCACACATAGGCTTGTCCTCCGTGCTGTGCCTGATGGGACGTGCGCACTATGCACACATCCTGCGCTTGTCGCGTGTGCACAACACATGGGCGCCCACGCGGGCAGCCTATTCCCGTGAGATTTTTCACGCAGGATTTTTTTCTCCTGTTTTCCGTTTTTTTTTTTTTTTTTTCTGAAAATCGTTTATTTTAAAAATTACCGATTAAATAATTAAATTAAAATAAAATTAGATAAATTAAATAAAATTAAAATGAATAAAAATTGGCATAATTTACGAATTACGATAATAAGTTGCGAAATAAAATAAAAAAGTTCAGTGTGGTCTTAAGGCTCGAATAATTAGGATTTTTTTCTAAATACAAATTAAGCATAGTGGTGAGTGAAATGTTACAAAACAGACAAGACAAAAGTTTTATAGGAAGGAGATAAAGAGTTATATAGGAGATAAAGTTAGATATAAAATGTTTAGTACAAGTTCTGACTTTTTTTCTAAAGGCAATGAGTTTATTTGATAATTCAAAAGGTAAAGATGACTCATAAGTATCTTCAGGAATTGAAGAAGATTCTTAACTTGGGATAGATTGCATGATGGTTTTTTGTGTTTTATCTCTCCTTGAATACCTCTTCAAGTTCGATTTATCTAGTCGTCTAGCACTTTCTTCTTGAATATAATCTTTTGACATGGAATTCTCCCAATGAATATGACTGTCAAGAGTGACCAAATTGGTCATCACCTCTTCCATTTCACTCCCCCCCTGAAGAGGTATTTGGGTGGAGCTGAAGTATGGTTCAGATTCTCTAAAAATAACATCTATAGTCACAAAATATTTTCTACATGGCGGATGATAACACTTGTAGCTCTTTTGAGTAGAAGAATATCCAACAAATACACATTTAAGAGATTTAGGTTCTAATTTACTCACATTTCTAGTATGGATAAAGTAAACACATCCAAACACTTTGGGGGGAACAATATAAGAATTTGTACCTTGCAAAACCTCCAGAGGACTTCTAAAATCAAGAACTCGTAAATGCATTCTATTAGTAAGATAGGCAGTTGAGAGAACTGCATCTCCTCAATAACTTTTAAGTAGATTCATGGTGAATATTAGTGACCGAGTTACCTCCAATATATATTTGTTTTTTTTTTTTTAGTAACCCTCATTCTGTTCATTGGTGTAGTACAACTTGTCTGTTGAATTATCTCATTAGACTTCAAGTAGCACAAATCTACCATGCATATATTCTGTACCGTGTTTGTTCTTAAATTTAATTTA